ATTGGCTAAGCACTGGATAGCAGTAACTACTGATTTATTTAGCTATAAAATGAGAATGGCATTGTAGCTCCCTATACAATGTATCATGCAAAACAAATGAAATAACTGTAGAGCACAACCCAGAACAAAGCCACTACTCATTATGGCCTAAAAGCACAGCAGGTTTTGACTTGGAGTAAGCAGATAACCAACACGAACATATTACTACTACAAGTTTTAAACATCTACGGTAAAACAGAACCCAAACTGCGCCAGCACTCCCTGCTGGAGCCCAGCATCGGGAGGGGGCGGCACACCTGCACACCTGTCTGCTTTGACTGCCCACTGCCAGGCGCCCCAATTACAGCTTCTGGTTCCGGCACCAAGCTGCACTCAATGGTCTCTGATGCTGAGTTTGTATGTCAAATCCATCCGGGAACTCATTCTTAAATCTCAATGTCATTAATCACCCAACATTCAGCATCTCAGAATTCAGAAATTTGCATTTCCACAATGGTGGCTTTGAAAAAAAGGGGCATAAATGCAAATGCTCCACAAACTGTATAAGGATTTCAGAGAATTGCCAAAACAAACCATCAATGCTCTATTGACAGTGAATGTTCTGAGCTCTTCATAACGACTGAGGATTTGTGATTTTTTAAAGACAAAACACAATTTGAGGATTAAAAAAGAAGCAGGTTGAAAGAGAAGTCGTTCTGTCTCTGTGATTTCCAGAACAAATCCTGACTGATTAAATTCCCAGAGCGTGGATGTTGTGGAGAATCGAGGAGTGACAGCTCAAGCTGCAAATGGGCCCTTGGGCTCCTCAACAGCCTAGAGGGCCTGGGGCGGGAAGGCTCAGGGGCATTTCTGAAACCCTTCCTTCAGGCACAGAAGGAAGCCTCACAAGAGGCTCAGAGCCCTACTGTCCCAACAGTTCAATCCTTCCGATCAGTCTTCCCTCCAACAAACCTGCATGCAGCCCGTGTCAGTGACTGTTCTACCGTCTCTGTATCCTCGGGGCCCAGCCCCTCTCCTGCCAGGAACCCCCCAGCTCTCAGGTTAGTCACTTCTCCCAACCAGGGCCTCACTAGGTCCAGAACCTGCCTATTATCTGCAGCTTAGAATTGATGTCTTCTCTATGTTAAATGCAGGTCCTCAAAATTCATTTTCTCTCTTTAAAGTCCTTAATACTTTGTAGTATCCTGAAACAGTCTGTCATTGCAAAGCACAATCTAAGTGACATAAAAATGTTTCTTTTTAAGAAAACATATTCTAAAATATACTAACCTTGGTGGCCAAACTGGTTGCAATGAACAGACTCAAGATCAAGCACAAGAAGACAGGAGTACAAAGACTGAGGCAGCCAGCCCAGCTCAGACCAGAGCAGGGCAGAGCCTCCCCCAGGAAGACCTCCAGATGAAAACCTTAGTATGATCTAAAGAAATCAAACCACATCAAGACTCAACTAAGCTATTGCTGACAAGACTTTTTAGCTGCTTTTGTGCGGAGGGGATATTTCAGACTCAACAGAATATTAAGAAACCAAAGAATGGTCCAAATTAAAACACTGATCTTAAGTATACAAGTTTCCCTTAAAATAATTACTTGCTTATAACTAAACACTGTTACACACCTCTTCCCGAGATGCAGGGGGAGATAGAACACTTGAGTTTCCCAATTCCATCCTGCTCAACCAGTTTCCTATCAAGGGTCAAGTCTGCATGACTACACACAGGTCCATAACGCCCACCGGTATGAGCCTTGTGACTGACAAGTGTTTCTTCAGGCAGAAATGGTGCGAAGGGTGGGGGGCAGGTGGTGTTAGAAAGCTGCAGAGGGACAGTTCTCAGTAAGCCAGCCAGGCTCCCACATCCCAGCACACTGCTCACAGGCCAGCCAGCAGTCTACATGGGAGTGGAACAAAGGCGGGGTAGGAAAGGGAGCCTTTGCTTGTCCCGAGGACAGGCCCACACGGGTCAAGTTCCCTCCCTCTCACTCGGGATGCCTTGTCCAGGCAGGGGCCCTGTGTCCTATACGTCCATCCTGATCCGTTTCAGCACATCCCAACAGGCAAAGGTTTGGAGCATGGAATTAGGCAAAAAGCACCATATTTCAGAACCTCTTCCCACTGTTCTTACTGTCAAAGAGGAGTTCTTTGAGGCTAAATCAATTCAGGCCCTTTCCGCAGGCTGCTCCCATCAGTACAAACACTGATTCAGAGCAATAAAACCAGCAGTGAGCAGTTTTACGTCAGAGAACCAGAGCCCAGCTCTGGCGGCGTTCATAAAGAACAGCAATAAAACCCTACTGCATGCCTCACCCACCAGAGGGAGTTTGAAGGGAAAACAGGAGAGAAAAAATCAAGCACTTCAAATAAAAAGGTCATTTTATCATCAGGGCAAAGGCGAGTTGCACTGCAAGTGTGAGTGAGGAGACAACAGCAAGGGCCCCAGGGGACAGTGAGGGCCCCAGGGGACAGTGAGGGGGGCAGTGAGGCCCCCAAGAAAGAGTGAAGGCCTCAGGGGACAGTAAAGGTGAAAGCCCAAGGGATAGTGAGGGCCCCAGGAAAGAGTGAAGACCCTGGGGGACAGTGAAGGCCCCAGGGGACAGTGAGGGGGGAGCAGTGAGGGCCCCAGGGAAGAGGGCTCTGGGGGACAGTAAGGGCTCCAGGGGGCAAGGCAGAGCAGGTCACAGCCAGACAGAAGCCGCTTGGATCATGAGGGAGGCGAGAGGCCCACATCAGGGAGGCTGCGCAGTGCGGGTCCAGTGGGAATGAGAGAGAGAGTCTCCTCCTTGGGTTGAAGAAACTTCCCATTCAAAATAGCAAACTGAATAAGTGAGTATTCATTATATCTCTTCCTCCCAAATCCACTAATTTACTAAATATAAACAGAAATATAAAAGGATATATAGCAATGCTAGACAGTGGGGAATAGCTCAGCTGACCAAAACTTGGAGGAATTTCCAAGAAAATATAAATCTGATGGGATCAAAGTGACAGGAAAACAATCTCTAGTGTTCAACCCACCACCTGGCAAGACAGACAACAGCCCCACACACAGGGAGGGTACAGGTCCAAGCCCAGCCCAGTCCAGCCCCCTGCAGCGAGGCCAGCGCTGTTTGTGGTCCCTTGCTGCAACTCCAGGGGCTGCTCTGGGAGAAAAGGTGGCTCCTGAAGGACACCTGAGCACTGCAGAGAGCAGGAGTACCCAAGAGCTTAGGCCCCGAGCATGCCACCACCACTGACAGAAGGCTCAGCCTCCAAGGAAGCCCTGCCCTCACCAGCTCCAGCCCCTCTTCCATCTTCAGTCTCCAACCCCAGGAGGGCCAGAGACCACAGGAGTCGGCTGGTGGCAACAACACACAAGGCCAGACAGGACAGTGATTGCGATAAACACGATGGGCGAACCCACATATAAAGGCAGACTCTCAGGGGAGAGAAAGCCAGCGCAGCACTCTTCTCCTCCCTGAGACAAGCCTAAAGAGAAGGAAGGCTTGGGAGGTTATGATAAGTTATGATAAGCGGGTGGGGAGATGTTGTTCAGCCCAAGAAACCAAGGGCAGAAACGCTTTCAGGAAATTCAATTAACTTCTTGGCAAAGACACAGGTAACAAAGAGAAATACATTGTATTTTATTTAGACACCTGGGTTACCAAGAGATAAGATGACAGGTTCTAGAGTTAACTGAGAATAAACTTAACGTTTTAAACGTGCACACCCACCATGCCCACTGACGGAATAATTCTGCCTCTTGGAATTGATCCAGTGCAGATAGATGCTTATAGAAGTGCAAGTACAAACTATACATATAATTGTCCGATGCCAGTTTGGGGCTGCTATAAATAGTGCTGCAACCACATAAATATTCATCTACAAGCTATCAAAATAAGTTAGATTTATACACATACTGACATCAAAAAGTGTTCATAATAGATTAAGATGATAAAAAAAATAACACAGACGCCCACAGATGGGATGACTGCACGCCATTGAAATACCTGTATGCAGCCCCTGTGCTCAGACATGGGAAGGAGGCCCAGCTCCCTCAATGGGAGGGAGAGCTGGGCACCCCTCAAGGTCTGCTTGACACACTTCGATCCAAAAGCTTAAATTTGTTTTACACATTTTATCAATCAATACATGAACAATTTATATCAATAAAGCCTTCCTATCTAAATATAACTGGGAATCCTAGCCTCCAGAGTTTCAGACAACTCCAGTCTGGCCAAGGGAGGGAGGGTGTGTGCAGGTTCTGGGCCGTCCCAGAGGCACAGACCTGGATTCCCCAGCCACACTGACAGGGGTGTGGGTGCCTGAGGATGCTCAGCTCTGTCCGGTGGCCACTGCCACCCCTCCCACATGGACACAGGACAAACTGCTGTAAGTGCTCTTACAGGCCAGGTAGCTGGAAGTGGCAGCAAGCAGGACTCAGGCATGCATCAGGCAACTGCACTGGGACTTGTCCTAACAGTGGGTGCCCACAACACATTTCTGAAGCCAAGGGCCACACGAGCATGGTTCCCAGTCCTGTTCAGCCACTTACTAATTCTATGACCCGAACAAGGCACCCCTTTCCTACAGGATGAGATTTTCGGGGCATTGTGAAGACTGAATCATGTGACATGCTTAGTGCAGGGCCTAATAAAACACACTCCAGCAGCAGGGCCAGGTCACAGAATCACCCCCACCCCCCGAGCGCCAGGAACAAAGAAACTGGGTGAGAAATTAACTCTCCAAATCACAAACTGACCTTTGAGCCCCACCTCGCTAAAGCAACGTTCTTGTCTCCTGGTGTCTAGGACACACGTCTGCCACTCAAGTCAGTGTGCAAATCAGCAAAGACGGGGCCTGAGTCTCCCGAGGGCTCTACAGTGTGTCTTTCCCAAGGACAATTTACTCTGCACCAGGTGCTGTCAGACCACCAGGGGCCACTGTCAAGAAAACCAGTCTACCACCCAGTGACACGTTGCAGTTGCAGTGACTTCCTTTCTGCCCAGGACAGCCCACAGCCCCTTACCTGGGTGGCTTTGGGAGCTCATCGCTAGCACCGTCTGCTCCTCTTCGCAACTCAGTGGCTCAAAACTTCCACGGACACAATGCTGCACAGAGCTCCAGAGTCCCACCAACACATCCAAATTCAGCAGCGGGCGGGGGCCACAGCCACGGCCACGTCAATGCTGGGCGGTCCACAGCAACGTGTCCACCAGTTCAGGGGAGGACCTGCATGGTGAGACAGAAATAGGCCAGTCAGGAGGCGACCTAAGGAAACCCGGATATGTTTTCATCATTTCACCGCCAACTGGTAAAACAATTCATCTGGACGTTTCTGCTGACAGGAAGCACTGGGGTTGTTAGTAAACACATGTGAACATGAGTGAAACGATCTGCAGGGAAGCGTTTCTAACCGGGGCACCACGGGTGGAGAATGTGTCTCAGGGAGTCACTCTGGCCCATTCCCACCAGTTTCCACGTGCGCATACTCCCGTCCAGCCCACATCCACACACACACCAAATCTCACCTAGCTGCAACCTGAGTCCCAGTCTTCAGTAAGCCCTCCTCACTTAAATCATCCCCCACGTTTCCACCTCCACAATTACCATTTCCTCAACTGATTTCCACTTTCTCATTATAAAAGTAGCATGCACTCATCACAGGAAAGTATTTAAAGTCACCCATGATGCCATCACAGAGGCAGACATTTGGTAATATCCTGACATGCTTTCCTTTGCCTTTTGCCCACACTGCCAGCTCCCAGCCTCATCTCCTACTATCTGTGCTGACATTACAGCCAGTTTTACAGTGTCCATACCACTCCTGGCAGCACGAATTGGAAGGCTTTGTGACAGAGCTGCCCCTCCCCCATGCCAGGTGGGTGGCATGTGACTGGGCCAGCTCATCAAACCCTCTCCCCAAGACCAGACTTGCCCACAGGTCAGTCACTGGACAGAGAGCCTGAGACAAGTCTAGGAACTCCCACCACCAAGCCCCTGCTCTGGGCAGTGGCATCATGAGGGGCTTCTTGAACTTGACGATGAGCAGATATTGCATTTATCATCAGAATATAGAAATACACTGAAAAAATGGTAATTCTGAAAATTCTCCTATTGACCCTGGCTGTAAGCCCTTCCGGGGCCTCTGTCATTTCTTCCTTTGCTAGGATGACAAATTCCTGCTCTTGATTAAATTACTCAAGGGCAGTCTTTCCCTATGCCTTATAACCAAAGAACTCCAGCCAACACAACATGGAAGGGAGCCCTCTCCGAGATTGCTCTTTAGGTGGTTTCCAAGGACATGGATCTGTAACTCTGTGGTTAATATCTAATATCTTTATATTATGGTTCTGTATCTGGTTATTTCCCTATGAAACACAATGACATATTTTCCTCAGGTTCAGAATTTTTATTTATCTCTTGGTCAGAAGTAACATCATTTTCTTAAAGGCAATGTAGATGATATGTTTTGCAAACCCTTACTAAACCTTAGGTGGTTCTGTATCCTTCACACAAGTCACACCTTGGCTGGGTATAAAAGTCTTAGCTCACAGACATTTTTGGCTGAAAATCTGTAGACATTGCCCCAACCTTCACATTGCAGAAAATTCCATCAGCTGAATAGTGTTTCCTTCTCAGGGAGCCCCTGGGGGCAGAGTTATGGTGGTGGTGGTGTTGCTATAGTTACTTTATTCTGTCTGGATTCAGCTAGAATTATATTTTTAATCTTGAAATTAAAAATGTTTTCAGAAGATATATGTTAAGAGTCTCCTTTCATTTATTTTGCTCCAAACATGAACCTTTCCATACATATTGGTCTTTCTGCTCAGGAAATGCTCTTCAAGGATCCCTCTACATTTGGCTGGACTCACTCCATCACCACAGGCACATCTGCTGTTTATTCTCATGCCCAGGCATCTTCTCAAGGGTGTTCTCTGCTATTCACGTCACTGCTATTTTTCATGTGATCAGTTGTACTCCTATAGCTTCTACTATGGATTTTAACTAAACCATTTGTTTCCAGCCATTTCCTTTTACAACTCATCCATTATCTTGTCCTCTCTGTGCATTCACTCTTAATGACCTTCTGCTCCAGTTTGTGGAGTCACATCTTCTCCCAGCCAGTCTTTTGAAATTTGTCTTCTGATTTCAACCATAAATCATTTTTAAAGGTAAGTTCGCCTTCTGCATTTCAGTGTAATTCCCTCTCCCCATATCCTGGGACACCTTGCTGAGGTCCATAGTGTTGGTTCTTTCTGTTTATTTATCCTCAAATATGAACAGCTCTACCCAGAGCTGGGTTTTGCCCAAACTCTGTGCGCACCTGCTCCTACCCCAGTGTCCACCACAAGGTTGGCTAAGCACCTTCTCAGGGCTCTGCACTGGCACCTCACATGCAGTTACCTTTCAAACACAGGGTGAAGTAGAAATAGAGATTTTCAGATATGCAAAACCTGAAAATACCCATCTGCAGCAGATCTACACACACACACACACACACACACACACACACACACACACACACACAATTACAGAGTCCTCAGGCAAAAGGAATGTAACACAAGACAGGAACACAGCTCCACATACAAAAGTGAAGAGCCCTGGAAATGGGAGCCATACAGGTAAATGTAAAAGTGTTCTCTTATGGTGAGTTTCTTAAAAAGAGAACTGTTTAAAGCAAAAAGAATACTGTATTAAGACGTTTATATCATATACTAAGAACCTCTCAAAAATAACCCAAACTAAGAGGGGGCCCAGGAAGCACACAGTCCTGTGTCCCCAGGTGTGGAGTGTGCCATACCATCACCTAATGGCAGACTATCCACTATAAATCCTAAAGGAACCCCAAAGTTCTAGTTAGCAAGTCAATTAAAAACAATACAATCTGAACATAACCCAAATGAAGGCCAAAAAAGGAAAAAGAACCAAAAAGTGACAAATATAAAACAGAAAGATGGTAGCTTTAAACCCAAATCTATCAATTACCATATTAAATGGTCCACTCATCACCCCCATTCAGAGGGCAGAGGTTGTGAGATTGGAGAAAAACACAAGAACCCACTTTCCCAGAGTTCAAAGAGGCATCATGTGAGGTACAACAGAAAATGACTCAGAGAGGAGGTCATGCACTTGATATCTATAATAATAAAAGCATAATATGCTAATTAGGCCCGATGTCCTTCTGGACGTCCTTCCTTCAGGACAAAGCCACAGCGGGCGGGGGCCGAGGCAGAGGCAGCAGAGGCCCTGGACACAGAAGCATCAGGCAGGGGCCAGGGACAAGGCCCTTGCATGAATTTCATGCATCGGGCCTCTAGTTGTAAAATAAATCTTCCCCAAGTTTACAGACCCAAGTATAATGCTGCTTACAAGGAACCCACTTTAAGTATAAAGATACAGATGGATTAGAAGCCAGAGCTGGAAAAGATACAGCATGCAAATGCAAATCAAAAGAAAGCTGCAACAGTTGCACTAATATCAGATAAAGTAGATATTAAACAAAGGATCTCACCAGGGACAAAGAAGCCATTTCATAAAGATTCATCAAAAGGACATAACAGCCCTGACCGGTTTGGCTCAGTGGATAGAGCGTCGACCTGCGAACTGAAGGGTCCCAGGTTCGATTCTGGTCAAGGGTATGTACCTTGGTTGCAGGCACATCCCCAGTAGGAGCGTGCGGGAGGCAGCTGATCGATGTTTCTCTCTCATCGATGTTTCTAACTCTCTATCCCTCTCCCTTCCTCTCTGTAGAAAATCAGTAAAATATATTTTTTTTAAAGTTTCCATCTTTAAAAAAAGGAAAAAAAAAAAAAAGGACATAACAATCCTAAATAGTCATGTGCAGCTAATAACAGAGCTTCCTACACACACAAAAATTAATAGAAGTGTATGGAGAAATGGAGAAATCTACAGTTACAGTTGGAAATTTCAACACCTTGCTCTTAGGAATTGTTAGAACAAGCAGACAGAAAATGAGTAAAAACAGAAAAGATATGACACTATGACCCAATCTGACCAAAAGGCATTTATAGAATACTGTGTATACACCAGAACACAAATTCTTCACATTTTTTTAAGCACATAGACCATTTACCAAGATACACATCTTTGGGGCCATAAAACAAGTCTCAGTAAATTTTAAAGGACTCAAGTCCAGCCGAACAAATATGTTCTCTGACTAAACTGAAATTAAGCAAGAAATCAAGCACAGAAAGATATCTGGAAAACTCCAAATATTTGGAAACTAATATACTTCATGGGGCAAAGAAGAAATTAAAATATAGAGAGTACTGGAGATGATGAAATGAATGAAAATGAAACACAACATGTGTACTTAGAGGGTAATTCCTGGCACTGAAAGCCTGTATTAGAAAAGATCTCCAGTCAATAAAAAGATCTTCAAGCGTTGCCTTAAAAAGCTAAAAAAAAAAAAAAAAAGAAGAAGAAGAAGAAGAAGGAGAAGAAATTAAACCCAAAATAAGCAAATAAGAGACAATGACAAAGAGCAGAAATCAACATAATAGAAAAGAGAAAAAAAGCAATTAAACAAAAGCAGATTCCTTGAGACAATCCTATATAATAAAAGCCTTATATGCAAATCAACTGAACAGACGAACAACCGGTGGCATGGCTGGTGGCTATGATGGCGCACTGACCACAAGGGGGCAGACACTCAATGCAGGAGCTGCCCCCAACCCGCAGGCCCCAAGCCAGCCAAGGTGGGTGCCAGTAGCCACCCCCGCAGATCGCCCCGCTGGTCACCCCACAGATCAGCCCTGATCGCCAGCCAGGCCTAGGGACCCTACCCATGCACAAATTTCGTGCACCGGGCCTCTGGTAAAATTGATAAACCTCTACCTAAACTGATCAGAAAAAAAGAGAAAGACCAGCTAATATCAAGAATGAGAGAGAAGGTTAACATGGACCAAATGGATATTAAATGAAACAAAGTTATGCCAGTAACTTTGACAATCTAGATGAAATCAACAAATGTCTTAAAGACCCAAACTACAAAGTCACTCAAGGAGAGAGCCCACCCACAGTCAGTGCCGGTCAGGAGATCCCAGCTGCGACTCTTCTTGTTCAGTCCCTCCTTTCTTTCTTTCTTCTTAGCATTTCACTGCAAGGATGAGCTGTCACTTCTCTATCTCTCTAGTTAATCAATTATTTATTTACATCAGCATGGGCTCATAGGTATTTATTTTAGTCTCTGTGTTATAATCCAACCC